TCATGTGAATCGTGTCCGACTGACTGTATATTGCCATGGCAAGCGGGTTCAAAAGTGCAGGTAATTCTTCGACTCCTTTCGGTGCCCCAGCCATGCTGACGAGTAATTTTCCTGTTTCCCATAGTGTGGACTGGTGTCGAAATGTGTCGGATGTTGGTCAACGTACCCTGGTGTGATGTAGACACTTGGTGCTACAGGAAAGCGTTTACGGTTGAAAAGGACGTCTCCGACGATGTGAGCTTGCCTTGTTGCTGAATGGGCCCACGTGCCGACTACTATTGCTGCAAGCGCTAGGATTTCCACGCGTAGGTTAGGCAGTGATAGACCTCCTCTGTGTCTGGGCAAGGCTGCCAAGTCTGCGTCAAGCCACTTTACCATTCTCCGCATCGGTTGTGAAGTGTCCGTGCCAGACGTAGTGTTTAATTCTCGTGTCCATGGCCTGGACCTCCATCACCGACGGCCATGCGTGACGCGCTATATAGAGGAGTTTCGGTACAATGATGGCACTGGCAATCCTGCTGCGATGGTCGACAGTGAGGGTTTTTTGGCTTGGCAGCCGCAATCTTGCTGTAAGTTGTTGCAGAGCTACCGTCCACGACCTCTGTGGATTCCGTTTACTTCCAACTTGAATACCAAGGTACCTGCAGGTTGCATCGGTCGGTTGGTAGTGCAGTTCAGGCGGTAGTGTCATTGATGGAGTCGCTCCCTCCGGATTTAGTGCTACAACCAGTGTCTTGTCGGTCTTAATTTGCAGCCCCGACGCCTTGCCAAAGGAGGATACCACGTGGAGTAGCGCAGGGATGTCCTTCGGGTTGGCGACAAAGGCCGCAGTGTCGTCTGCGTAGCCCGCAACCCGCAGCTCAAATCGACCAGCCTCTGAATGAACTATGACCCCTTTGCATCCCATAAAACCGTCCAATTTTCTGTACAGAGGGTCCAAAGCCAGGATGAACAGCATCGGTGCCAAGGGGCGGCCCTGCCGAATTCCGCTCGTAACCCGTACATATCGTGAGGTGGACCCATTCACCAGGAAACGCGCCCGTGTACCTTCAAGTGTACTGTCAATTGCTCGGACAAATTTTTCTGGGTATCCTTTCCGTCTAAGAACGGACAGCATGTATGCTCGATCGAGTGAGTCGTAGGCCTTCTTGAAGTCCCGCAGTAGTGCAGAAGCCTCTCTCTGAGAGAGATCAGTGAGTACCATACTTTGTGCTGCCTCGTGTCGTGGATTTATCTACCAGGAACGAAGCCATTTTGGTTGGGGTGTATGTGATCTGGCAGCGTCATGCTGACTCTACTTGCCAGTATCTTCATCAGGAGCTTATAGTCCGTGTTAAGCAGGGCAATTGGGCGGAAGTTGAGTGCATTTCGCGAGGATCCCCCTTTTTTGAGGCAGAAGGTATCCGCGTCCAGAAATGAAGGCGGGAAGACTCCTGCGTCGTACCAGAGATCATAAGATTTTGCCAGAATCGGAATGAGTAGGTTTTCGTAGTCTCGATACCATCCATTGCCCAGACTATCCGGACCCGGCGCTTTGCCTCGTTCACATTTCTGGATGGCAGCCCTCACGTCGTCCTCAGTAATTTCTGCAGCGCTAGCGGTCTGAGCTGGTGTGGATTGGTCCGCTTGGGGAATCCAATTGCCGACTTCCTCTACATTGGGCCAGTCCGCAGCATCTTGCTGTAGAATTGGTGTCCACGCGTCCGCCATGGTGTCAGCTTTGTCGTGAACTCCTCTCACTGGTACGCCTGGGATCGGGTCCAGCTTATGGACAGTATCGTCGCTAAATTTAGACGATACTCTCCTAAAGAAGGAACGTGTAGTTTTGCATGCCCAGTGGGTTGCTTCTTGGAACAAGCGGCGTTGTCCAAGCTCGTTTCTAGTCTGCTTGCACTCGGCAATAGCTCGCCGTAAGCGAGCTTCACGAGTCAGCCCCGCTGTTGTGTCTAGAGTAAGTCCGTCTAGCTGGTCAGTGATTGATTCTACCGTCGGAGGTTGACCCATTTTATCTTGTAGCAGACGGTGCTGCTGACGTACCAATCGGGCCAATTTCTATTTGAGAGATTGTCTCCTTGATTTACGCCGCTCTCTAATACATAGTCGGGTTCTACGAGCAATTTCACTCTTCAACGCCTCCCACTGCACGCTGGCCTCTTCCGCTGAGTACTCATTTTTGCTAAAGCGATCAGCAAACTCTGTTAGAATATGAGTGGTAACTCCTTGACTGCGACCTCTGCAAATTGAGGTACCGGGTGAATTCGTGGTGGCCGGCGGATTCGGATAGGGTCCTCCGGTGATGACGTGCAGTTTAGTTCCGAGATGATCCGACTTGGCTCCGAACTGAACTGTGTGCCAGTCGGTCACCCACGACAGTGTGCAAGGTGACATATACCACCGATCCAGCCGTGAGGATGCCTCTGTTCCCCCAGGAAGCGTGTAATGACAAGTGTGAGACTCGAAGTGGTGTCGTAGTAGATCTTCATATGTCCATTTCGACGGTCGTGCCACTGCGATCGGGTCCAGAAGGTCCCATATGTTAAGCAAAGCCCGCAGCGCCGGTGCGTCATGGCCTCCGGATGCGCTGGTGAAGCTGCAGTCAGCCCATTCATTCAGGTAACAGTTAAAGTCACCTCCAACGAAGAGCCATTACCCCAGCAGGAAACCCAATATTTTGCAATGTTTTGTAAGACGTCTCTCTGAGCGCGGAAGTGTGAGGTGCGTATACGCTGCAAATAATTGCCGGGGTGCCATCAAGATTCCCTCTTACCGCCGTGAAATTCTGAGTCCATTTATCTTCCAGATAGGGCGTCATGGCCTTATTAATAAACGCGCCATACGGGTTTGCCCAGATCGCCACACAACCCCTCCTGTCATCGGCAGGTGTCCAAAAGGAGTAATTCGGCTGCCGTGGGCCCGTCTGGAACCCCCACCTCCTCGCAAAAAGTCTTTTGTACGCTTCCATCTCTCCGGCCGCGACATGCGTCTCCTGCAACAAGAGTACATCTGAGTTTCCATGGGAGTCCGATGTCCCGAAAGCCGTGAACCCGTTCGATCTCTCCTTTTCTATCGCACCGAGTCCATTGCCATTTTGTGTAATGATCCCTAGCGTTTGCTCTTCTGGGTGGAGCCGTTGTTCCGCCAGTTTTGCTGCTCTGGCTGCGTCCTTATCAGCTTTCCTTATTCTCTTCGTGCGCAATTTCTTGTCTTGCGCAAACGGTTCCTCTAGTGCAGTGAATTGGTCTGTTACTTGTATTGGGTCGAAGAATTCCACAAGTCCTGTGTTTTCGCGATGTATCCCCACGTAGTATGTAAAGTTTTGTGTAATTTCTTGTAATTGGATCTGTATTCTCCTTCTCCTCAGATCCAGCACACTTGCCCGTCCAGC